AATGCATGGTATAGTCCAGTCCCAACTTATAAGAGCTCTATATATTTTGCTTTCTATAAATGCACACCCTTTCTAGTACACACTTTTTAATTTTTTTCCTATAGTCCCGAAGGGGTGCACTTAAAGAGATCTGACTGTAATGCCGAAGATATCTATTATAAATGATGGTAAAATTTTAGTAAAAGGGTTTTGAAAAGAACGTTGCTTTAGTAAATCACCAGTTTGAAGTTAAATCCACACTGGAAGTTTGGCAAGTTAGGGATTTTCAAATTTTTGATATAGGCAAGATTCAGAAACGTTAACAATCTTTAAGCCCGACATTATTTCCTGCTTACATATAAATCAGTTTTCAAACTTATACCATTTAATAGAGCAAAACCCATAGAATAGCGTTATTTAGAGAATATTTTTAATATCTTTCATGCGTTACGTGGTTCAATTAAAAGCGAATAAAAACTTTTAAAAATTTTCATAGCAAATTTTAAAAATTGATCTACATTTTTACTATGATCATGCACTCACATATTTGGACAGGTGGACATATTCCCTGACTGCAAAGTCAAAAAACGAGAACAAAGAAGGCTACAGGAAATTAGGTATAGTAGCATATAGAAAAAAAATAACTATTTGTCATTTGAAAGTCAACTATATTGATCAGAAAGTTTCTTACTGTCTTGATAATATTGCAATAAAATTTATATTCATATATTTATACAGTATAAGACTACAATCAGAAATATATTCAATAAAGATCCAAACTTCTAGCATCAGTCATTTCTGGCATCAGCCACGGAAAAATTCATTGATTCAAAACTAATTTCTATTTAATATGTGAAATTCAAATTCTCTAACCAAACGAGCCAAATTAAAGTTCCATTGTGAAAGTGACATTAACTCTGATAAAAAATTTTCATTTGACTAATATATTGCAGTATTGTAATTTTTAAATATCGACAAAATCCCGAATCCCGATTAAAAGTTGCCATATCCGTAATTTGGTGCCGAAACACATCACTACACACGATACGGAGTATCGGAGTGGCGAATCAACATGGATGAGACCATGTGTATGATACAACAGCCCGGGTGTATAATTCTGATCAGATAGGTCTTTGAAATGGTTTCCGACTCAATCAATAGGTTGACTAATATTTAAGCCTAATTTAGTTATACTTGCAGGCCAAATTCGTCTACGCTTAAATCTCAAACTCTGGCCAAACTAATATCTCAAAAACTTTATTAAATCTTTAAATAAATGGTATACTGGTATTCATTCTTTAATATATTTGCCAAATATCAAGATAAATGACGTCATCTGACGTCCCCTGGTAGTTGATACCCGGAGTTATTAAAAAATAATAAAATAAAATAAAACTCATACAGGGAGATCCCCAAAATTCAGGGTCGGAATGCATCGGACCTGGTCTGATGGGCCGGAGATGATCAATCTAAAAATTTTGCTAATGAAATCATAGTCCAATAGTCGTTAATTAAGTAAAAAGTGCCCAGCTGATAATTTTATTATATTTCCTGCAACCAACCCAGCTAACCCTAACCCTAATTCCGACAGAAACTTGGGGATCCTCCTGTAAAAATCATATAAATATAATATAAATATATATCTGATTATTTTTTGATAATTGCTTTTTGGGATTTTGTGATTTGCCCAGATTTTTCTGGCAAGTATAGGTTTAATTTAATTGGTCCATCTGAATGATGGCCGATTTGTGCTGTAATTCAGCTTGGTCGTGTAACCGTTAAAAGCTTGTTTGTCTCGCAAGAAAAAAATCCTCAGGATATAACCAAACTCGGGTTTATAGTGCAATATTATTTACAGTATTGATTACAAAAGAATTAAGGATAACAGACAGTAGTATTGTGTTTACCTCCAAGACAAAATCTGCGGGATGGCAAACCATAGTTGCTAGGTGTCATTAAAATTAAAAAGCTATTAGTTTACCAATATTAATGATTCTCATTATGATTGCGCTATAAGACCAAAATGATTTTGTTTGAAGACAGAAACGCAAATAAATTCAGTTGTTTTCACATCGGCATTTACGATTAACAACACATTATCGTTATTGACTCAGCATGCACAGTACGTACCAAGCTTTTTTTCTTTATCATACTAATTAGTCTTTTACGATTATGATTTTACCTACACACGCCAAATAGGGTTGATAGACCTTTTGTTTATTTATGAATATGCCTACATCAGGAAACGATATGTATGTTTTATTTTCTTTTAATAAAACACCAATAAAACATGTGCGCCACGCACATCAATTAAAAGGAGAAAAAACAAACAAAATATAATGAGATATCGATATAATCGACAATTTTTTTTATTACTCTCAAAAATTAAAATTCACTAATAACTTTCATTTGCATCGAAAGATTACTTATATAATTATAATGGCTCGATTTCCAAACGTTGTAAAATTCTTTAATATTGCATCTTATCTTTTATTTGCAACTCTTGTTTCTGAACCGGTAATTTTTCGCAAAATTCGAATTTGGGTTTCCATATTATAATTCTGACATATCTTTCTAACCTTCTGTATTTATCAGGAATTTAGATTTGAATATCATAATTCTTACATACATCCGAACGTTTTCGTTTTCTATTTCTGGAATTTGATCCATTGGATACTTGGATTCTTTCGTAACTATCATAATTTTCAATTTAAAAATTACTTTTTAGTCATAATAACTAAAATTTTTCATTTCCCATTTTTTTTTTAGTCGTTTGTCAATTCATTGATGTGGCAAATGAAACAATTGTCGATGGAATCGGTTGGCTCTTTGTTTGCTCTGCTTTGTTAAATTCCGCTTGGCTTGTTCTTGTGGTAATTTTTTCATAAAGAAATTCCTTCATTTTTTAGTTTTATCCCTTCTTTCATGATGTTCTTTATGAATATCAATTAATGAATTATAATATATTAATGCAATTTTTTTTTTTTTTTATTAAAAAAAAAAAAGGTATTTGACTATTTAATTCTAGCTTGGCTTGCAATCCTAATAGTGTGCATTCTACAATCTTTCATTTACTACAACCTCAAGTACAAATACCCTCCTCTAAGCCGGTTTGATACTTACTTTATACACCTCCCATTCAAAATATATCATGCTTGGGCAATAGTAATATGTGTGATAAGCTTATTTGTAGCGGTTGTGCCTGATAAAGGTTTGGATTCTCAATCTTCACCAGGAGTTGTTATCCAAATCTGTTCAGTTATAGCTTTGGCGTTTTTGGATTTGGTGGCAATGGGGTACATTTATAAATGCAAAGGCGATTTGGTGGGTGCAGGTGTTATTGTAATAACCTTATTAGGAATTGCTTTGCAGCAGGATGATATAATTGTACGTTGGGCGGCATTGGGTCTTGGAATTAAGACTGCTATACTAATGGCTAATGATTATATTGGTAAATATTGTAGAAGTGAGGAACAAACTCCATTACTAGTATAATATTTTTTGCGATATAAGAGATTAATCAGAATAGAAAGTTTTAATAGATTTAATATTTAACGTTCAATTTTTCTAAATTATTATCGCACAAATAGATCTTTTTTTTTCAAGTAGATTGTTATTAAAAATTGTATTATTAATTTTAGCTTGCATATTTACATGTTCATATTCATACATACTTCTTGTAATTTTCAACTAATAAAATAGATACTCAAAAATTTTATGATCCTATTATATATATATATATATATTAAAAAAAGAGAAATAAAAGGTGTTTGAAGAATGAAAGCCGTTATAATGATTTAATGCATAAAATATAAAATTTTTATTACAATCCCTAGCCACAAAATATTCGAATACTACTATAAATTTAGAAATGTGATAGACTTATTATAGGTTCGAATTAATATAAACCTCGGTTTTATCGAATTCGTAGGACAATTCGCAAATTCAGTAAAATCTGACCCGTTATTGGTTGATGCGACTTAGTATTATTAATTAATCGAGAGAAAAAAATATGTATTGTTTCGGAACATTAATAGAAATAAACGATGATCAAGGTCAATGCCAAAACTGGAGGAAACTCCGAAATAATAGTCATAAAATGGTTTGGACAATAATAATAACTAGTTTCTCAGGAATAAGGTCGGGTGCGGGAACTTAGTTTTCCGATCCTATTAAAATCCTATAGCTCACACTAGGATGTCCGTATGTTGCTAAAGATGCTTTGTGTTAAATTATGCATTTGTGCTAACGCTAATAATTAGTCGAGCTAAAATTTATTGACTAACTAAGCCGATTTTGTAAAAAATCGACTAAGCCATCCAGCTTAGCCAACTCATACAAGAAGATCCTAAGATACTAAAAATTTTACTAATGAAACCATAGCGATAGTCGTTCATTAAGTTAAAAGTATCCAGCTGATATAGTAATAGCTCCTGATAACCGGTATAGGCATTTTGACCCGTAAAAGTGGCTTAGCCAGCTAAATATTGAAATCATATGATTTACTATTTTAAATATAAATGATTGAAATTAGATCATAAATTCTATTAATACATTTAAAAAGTACGCTTATGAATGAAAGTAAAGTTGTTGAACAATCAAGAAGGTTTGTTCTCTTGATTTTTAAGTTTCATTAAAAATTTTTATCGTAACTCTGATTATATTAATATATATTTGCAAATGATTTTTTAATGATTTAACTTTTCTATAACCCAATATGATTGGCGAGTTTTCTTTTAAAAACATTAAGTCATGAAACATATTGGGGCTTAGACGTTACGTTTATCAGTTAGAATATTTCCGGCACTAAAAAAGAGTCTTTCAAAAGGGACCGATGTCATAGGCACAACAAGAAAGATTCTTGCCTGCTCAGCTAGTGGTAAAGTGCTTTGATGTTCTCTCCACCAGCTTAAATGGTTGCAATTTTCATATAAAGGATCCGTAAGCTCATACTTGGGAATGGTGGAATAAAAAAGTATACTTGCAGTTCAGTATCAATAGGTGAGGTTAATTCCATTCCATCATCGTAAAATGAAGACATGTCATATGTTGAACTAACAGTATTTGGTAAATTTCTTACAACTGGTGAGCGCGATTTGCAAAATTCAGGATATAGTCCGTAATCGATTGCGATTGAAATTGAGATTGTGCATTGTTAACCATTTATAAGAATGTATGATTCTTTAACCAGTAAAAAATAAAACTAAATAAATATTTCATTAGAGAGTTCTAGTTTCTATTTTATCATGTTTTTTTTTTTCATCGGTATCAATATGCCAACATCACTTAGTAAGGATTTAAAGTCGTGTTGTATATCTTTATCATGATGGATATAGCAAGTGAAGGATTGTATAATTATTATTATTTCTAAGCAAAAATGTTAGAAGTATTGCGTACGTATTACAAAAAATGGAACTGTATAACAAGTCCTTTTAAGGGAACTAGAGGCCGACATAAACTATTCAACAGTCATGATATAAAGTAAATTATAATTTGTTAATTAAATTTTTATATATTAAAAGTAATTTACTTATTCTGTTTATAATAATTACTATATATTTAGATTTTAAAAGCTTTGGTCTAAAAAAAGTTGATTGGTATATTGATAAATTGCGAGATGAAATGTTTACAAGAACAGGAAAATGACTATCAATTTCAACTTTAAGTCATTCTTTAACTTTACCATCAAAAAAAAAGTAAGTATAATATAACTAGTTATTTATGCTAATTTTACTTGAAATTTAATGTTAAAAAAACTTAATTTATAGTCACACGAAGCTGCTTATGAACGAAACGAACTTCTTAGATTAGCATTTATTGCAAATATTGGAGATTATCACAAGCATCATTTAATGCATTCATACGTAGATGAAGCTGCAAAATATGATTATAATATTTCTAGAACTTATTAATACTCATGCACATAAAAAACTGTTTTTGTTCGAGGCAAACAATATACTGTTATATCTACTAACTTTAAATGGAATTATAGCATTGACATTTTGAAAATTTTGTTATTGAGGAAGTTGTATGTATATATTTATAACATTTTAATAAACCATTTTAAACACAATTTTAACCAAAACATAATTTATTTAAGGTTCCTCAAATGAAAGCATACGCTGAAAAAAATAGTGGTTTAGTATTAGATAATGCTACAATTCATAATTTATTTAAGGTTTCTCAAATGAAAGCATACGTTGAAAAAAATAGTGGTTTAGTATTAGATAAAGCTACAATTCATCATTGTGGATTACTAATTAATATAATTGAGGCTATTGGTGCACGAGTTCTGTTTCTCCCACCTTATTCACCAGATTTTAATCCGATTGAAACTGCATTTTCATTTATTAAGAATTACTTTAAAAGAAATTGCGAATTTGTAATGCTAGTGCTGATCCAGTATATCCAATTTTAACAGCTTTGACTAAAACTAAAAAAGCTACAATGAGATAACACCTAATATAACAGAGAGATTTTTTTATAGTTTAATATACTTATAACAAAATACAAATTATTATATTTAATATATTTACTATTCCAATAGCAAAATAAAAAATAACATAGTATAGTTATGCATCATAACTTTAAAGTTGTTAACACAATAGAATAATGCTCTTAAGATCGTAAAATTGGCTTGCCAAATTTGCATCTAACATTTGATTATTTAATATTTACAAACTAATTTGAGAAAAAAAAGGCTAAAAAAATTAATCGAATACTTATGGATTTGAAAGCATTGTATATAGTCTATTTTCTTGCTATAGTTATCTTTATGGCTATAATTATGTTGTTGCACTTGCTTTGCGCTGTGAAAAAAAAATAAAATAAAAATAGCGAATATATTAACAATTGCTATGAAAAATCATTATAGTAATATAAGTTTAATTAGTTAATTACTATATTCCCATTTTTTAAATTTTCTGATCAGATTTTTTTTTTATTCAAATTATTTATATTACATGTTTCTTAGCAATTCTTATACTGATCTATATACTGATTAAGAAGTTGATAGATGTATTATTGCTTTTGATTAGTTTTATTTAAAAATGTAATCAAAACTAATATAGCACAATCTCAATTCAAATTTATTTGAGTTGACTAGAAGTTAATAGATCAAAAAGCTAGTCTAAATAATATACAGTACCTCTTATATAGTCAATAAGAATAAAGTCAATCCTAGCAGGTATATCTTTGAACAAGATTGGTGCTAATAAATAGATAAGTAAAATCAATAGATAAGTATATGATAAATTTATTTTAATTAATCTAATTCTTTGAGATATTGTTTCTTTTTAAAAAAAATTTTTTTAGCTTATTTTCTTTTTTCTATAATGTAAATTTGAATAATTATAACAACAAAATATATTGTATTGCTTGCAAACATGACATTAATTATACTAAAAGTCTACAATTAATATTCATCTTAATTTACCATTATATAAAAAAAAAAATCTTATTAAAATCTTATCTAATAATACAAGCTCTTCAAAAAAGCAAAATATTAATTTAGCATTAGTTAAAACATTCATTGAAGCTAATATTCTATTAGAAAAGATAAATAAATTACAAAATTTTTACAAGACTATTGTATTGAGGATAAATAAATTAAATATTAATAATTTAGTTAAATATAATAATATACTTTAAATTAATTAAATTAATAGATAGAGAAATCATTGGTGTAAATTAATTATGTGAATATTACTACAAATTTTTCAAAATAAAATTAATAAATTAAAGAAAATTCATGAAATTCAATATATTTTAATTATGGTTAATAAAACAACTGATGTTTGTGAATATAGTGTTGTTAATATTTTGTTTAGCTATCAAATCAAACAAAATTAGTAAAAACTAAATACTTGAATACTGTTAATAATTTGATGATTTCTCAATTAATTTTGTCTACAATAAGATTCTATAATATTTTATACTAAAATATAATTTATTTTATTAGTAATAATACTATATAAAAAAATATATACAACCTTAGTTAATATAATGCCTTATCTTAAGCATAATTGCTATTTATATATATCTAAGTTTAGTTGAGAATTGTTAGATTTATTTTGAAATTTTAAGCTTTTAGCACAAGTAGCATCATATATTAAAGATGTATGTTTATATTCTATTATCTGTAAAAGAAGATAGTTATAATTTTTTTCTAAAAATACTATTTCCTCTTTAAATTTAGAAAATTTTTTAGAAAATTTAGAACAAATTAATTTACAATTGCCTCCTTTATTTATTAAGATATGTTGGAATAGTTAGTTTAAATTTATTTTTTGATTAAAACCTTATTTTCTATATTTTTTAATAAAGAAATCACATACAATAAACCTCCAAAATCAGTAAAAGAATTGGTAAACATTTTTATGAATTATGAAAATATTTTATTAATTGAAATCATGATAGAACTTATTATTTTAAATGTTTAATAGTAAGCTAATTTAATTTAATATTAATAGTATATATTTATAAATATATAGTAT